GAGGGGCGGGGGCTCGTCGGGGGCGCGGCCTGGGGACGTGGAGCACCGGATGGGGCGAGAACACGCTGGGGGCGGTACCTAGAGCGGGGATTTGGAGCGGGGACAGAGGATACGAGCGCCGGGATGGGCCAGGGTTACACTGGGGGCGGTTACAGTGCAGTCTAGCGTTGGGGCGGGGCTACGGTGCTGGGTGGGGCAGGGCAGGGAGTCGGGCGCAGGGATGGGGCGGGGCCACGCTGGGGCGGGGCCAAAGGAGACCAGCACAGGGATGGGGCGGGGACACTCTGGGGGCGGGAACAGGAGTCTAGCGTACGGACGGGGCGTGGCCACGCTGGGGGCGAGGACAGTGGGGACCTCTGCTGGGATGGGGCGTGGTCACGCTGGGGGGCTGTTACAGCTCAGTCGAGCGTGGGGGCGTGGCTAGGTGGGGGTGGGGCCAGGGAGTCGGGAGTGGGATTCGGGTGCGATTATACGCTGGCAGCAGTTACAGGGCGGTAGAGCGTGGCGGTTGGGATTGGGGCGTGGTCAGGTCGTCGTGCGCATGGATAGGGCAGGACCAAGCTTGGGGCGGGGTCCGAGGAGTCAAGAGCATAGATGGGTTGGGGCCATGCTGGGGCTGGGGGCCGGGAAAGTCGTTTAGTGACGGCAGAACCAGGCTGTGAGCGGAGATGGGGGAGACACACATGCTGGGATGGGGCAGGGCCTTGTTGGGGTCGGTAGCTAGAGCAGGGATTTGGGAGCCGGGCTATGGTGGGAGCTGGGCTGAAACTCAGGCTGTGGGAGGGGTGGGACCTGGGGGATGAGGACACTGGGGTCAGGGAGAGCACTTTTGCGATCTGGGACCAAGGTTAGGATCAGAAACGGATGTGGAACCAGATGATGAGAGACAGAGACAGGACACTTGGGTGGGGTCAAGTTGTAGGGAGACTCAGCCAATTGAATATTGGGGCCGGGCCAGCACTGGGGACCTGAAACTGTAGCCTCAGGGTGAGTACTAAGGGCTGAGGTCACACCTAGGTAGGGCCATGGTTGGGGGGCTAGGGGAGTTTGAGTTGAGGGCAGGGTGGAGAGTCACGTTAGGGAAACCAGCCCCTTGCCCTGTTTTCTGCCCCTCCATGCCTCCATTTCCTTGTTCCCTCTGGGAGCTCCCAGGCTTGACCAAGCTCTCTGTGCAGGCCATCCACGGCTTCCGAGAGACAGAGAAGTCGCGCTGGTCAGAAGCCAGCCGGGCCATCCTGCAGCGCGTGCAGGCGACCGCCTTTGGCCCCGGCCAGACCCTGCTCTCCTCCGTGCACGTGCTGGACCTGGAAGCCCGCGGCTACATCAAGCCCCACGTGGACAGCATCAAGGTGGGCAGAGGCCTACGCCTTGGCACTCCCAGCCAGGGGGTAGGCAGGCCAGACCAGAGCCTGACCCATCCCCGCGCCCCTTTTGCAGTTCTGCGGGACCACCATCGCCGGCCTGTCTCTCCTATCTCCCAGCGTTATGCGGCTGGTGCACACCCAGGACCCGGGGGAGTGGCTGGAACTCTTGCTGGAGCCGGGCTCCCTCTACATCCTTAGGTACCTCCAGCCAGGCAGCTGATTGTGCCATCCACCCCCCCAGTGCCCTGGGTACCTTCCCTCACTCCAGCCCTCCCCAAAGAAGCCCTTACCCCAGGGCCTGTGTGGGAGGCAGCAGGGGGCTGGAATCCAGGTCTGCCTGGAGCAGGGGCTGCCCTCCTTGCACCCAGTCACAGCCTGTTTCCTCCTGCAGGGGCTCAGCCCGTTATGACTTCTCCCATGAGATCCTTCGGGACGAAGAGTCCTTCTTTGGGGAGCGCCGGATTCCCCGGGGCCGGCGCATCTCCGTGATCTGCCGCTCCCTCCCTGAGGGCATGGGGCCAGGGGAGTCTGGACAGCCGCCCCCAGCCTGCTGACCGCCAGCTTTCTACAGACACTGGCTTTGTGAATAAAGTTGGGGAATGGACAGCCTAACTGGAATATTGCAGTGGCTGCTTGCTGGGGCCGGGATCTGCAGGGGAACCCAGGATGGCACTGGCCCACAGGGAGCTCCAGGTGTGGCCGGCTGGACACACGGTCAAGGTCACAAGGCCGGGAGAGTGGTGTCCTTTATTGCATTCATTGCTGGTCACCCCAGCCCACTCCCCTCCTTGTTGTCTGTGCATCCAGGTCTCCAATAAATAAGTCAGCCGAGCTCCCCCAGCACTGCAGCTCCTGGCTGCCAGGCCGGGCACTCTCAGCCGCCACAGCCGCAGGCAGCCGCCGAGAGCTGGGGCAGCCGCTGCCAGCGGTGGCGGTCGTCAAGAAAGGCCACGTCGGTGTAGCGAGTGGGCCAGCAGCAGGGCCCGCCGTGGGCTCGGCCCTGGCCCTGCAGCCGGGCCAGCGCCAGGCCATGCTGGGTGCGGGCACCACGGGGGCAGCTGCCGGCGCAGTAGCGGAAGATGACCTTCTCCTCTGAGGCGTAGCCCAGGCCCAGCTCTGCCACCGATAGGGTCAGGCTCCACAGCTGGCATGGACCGGACGGGGCTCGGCGCAGGCGGGCAAGGGGGCGGTGGGTGCCTGTGGGAGAGAAGGGTGCTGACAGCAGGGTCAGGGCTGGGGGAAGTTGGGAAGTCACAGAGGGTCCCTGGGGGTTCTTACCCAGCCAGGTCCCTCCAGCCTTTGCCACCTGCTCAGACGAGAACACTCCATCGGCCACCGGAGCCCCACGGGCATCAGGGCCCCAGCCCTGTCCCAGCTGCAGGGACAGAAGCAGCAGAGAGCCCAGCAGGACCTTCCCCACAGCCATTGTGATGGGCAGGTCCTGAGGGTGGGAGCTGTGCCCCGAATTTATGCCCTGCCTGGGCTGGGAGCTAACCTCTTCACTGCCGGCCCCTGCAGCCAGGAGGCCCCACGTCTGCACCAGCCCATCTCCCGCACCCTGGGATCCAGGCATCTCCTGCCCCACACCCCACCCCTCTAAGAGTTAAGGGCTCACCCCCAGCCTACCCCACCCCGACATTCCACACACCCATTTCCTACGCCCCAGACACCCCCTGATTTACGAGTGCTGTGCTGGCAGCCAGGGCAGGCAACTGGTGTTCCCCCGACCTGCTGCCTGGAGCAGAAGTCGGGGGGCTTCGTGGGACCCCATTGGGGTCCCTCCCCACTAAGTCAGGGTGCTGGGGCTCAGGAGCCCCCACATGTATCATGTGCCAGGTGGGGCGTATGTGAGTGCAGGGAAAGGTGGGTTGGCAGGGGACCGAGGCCACAGGAGCTCTCCGTGGTGGCTCCCGCCGGGAGGATTAGGACATCATGCCCCTGTCTCCGGGCCTGGCTGAGCCAGCATCAAAACAGGAAAAGGGAGAGGCCTGGGGACAGCCAAGGGTGGGGACATAAGGGGACAGGGATGCCTGTCTCGGGAAGGCCAACCTAAGACCCCCATAACTGCAGCCCCATCCTGGGATCTGAGCGTGTCAGAGCCCCTGGGGTGATGGAGGCTGTCCAGGTCATGGTAATGTCTAGCATGATGCAGCCAGGGAGGATAAGGGCTCTCCAGGCTTCCATACCCAGCCCTGTGTGAGCCCAGTCCCCTTCCCGGTACAGGGGAGCTCCTCAGAACCCGTCCTACTCAGCTTGGTGAGGAAATAAATGGGTACTTACAGAGTGTAACGCAGTACCCGTAGCTTTGAATGCAAAAACAAGCAAACAGCTTGTGATTGTCCGAAGGGGTACTTGACCCTAATCACCCACAAGATTGGTGAAAATCAGAAAACTCACACACAGCCCGTGTGTGACCCAGGCGCGCCCCCGTGCTGTTGGTGGGGGTGTAAAATGCTAGCAGCTCTTTGGATGAGCAGCTGCTACTGGGGAATTGTAAATTACACCCTCTGCCCCAGGAGCCCTGTTTGTGGGGTTCCTCCCACACAGGCCAGTGAAACAGCTGGCACAGGGACGTCTGATGCCTTCTTCGTATTAGGAAAGACTGGAAGTGACGGCAACTCCATCCACGGGGGATTGCGTCGGTGATGATGATGTGGTTTTTCTTCCTGAAGTGCTTATTGAGATAATTTTCAGATGGAAAGAAAAGCCTGGGCTTGGCATGGTGGCTCACTCCTCGGGAGGCTGAGGCGGATGAATCACCTGAGATTGGGAGTTTGAGACCAGCTTGACCAACATGGTGAAACCATCTCTACTAAAAATACAAAAATTAGCCGGGCATGGTGGTGGGCGCCTGTAATTCCAGCTACTTGGGAGGCAGAGGCAGGAGAATTGCTTGAACCTGAGAGGTGGAGGTTGCAGAGTTGAGATTGTGCCATTGCACTCAAGCCGGTTCAACAGAGTGAGACTCTGTCTCAAAGAAGCCTGGCCGGGCCCAGTGGCTCACTCACACCTGTAATCCCAGCACTTTGGGAAGTTGAGGTGGGAGGATCATTTGAGGTCGGGAGTTCGAGACCAGCCAGGCCAACATGGTGAATCCCCATCTCTAATGAAAATACAAAAATTAGGCCGGGCGCAGTAGTTCACGCCTGTAATCCCAGCACTTTGGGAGGCCAAGGTGAGCAGATCACCCGAGGTCAGCAGTTCAAGACCAGTCTGGTCAATGTGGCAAAACCCCATCTCTATTAAAAAATAAGCTGGGCGTAGTCCCAGCTACTCAGGAGGCTGAGGCAGGAGAATCACTTGGAACCCAGAAGGCAGAGGTTGCAGTGAGCCAAGATTGCACCACTGCATTCCAGCCTGGGCAACAGAGTGAAACTCCATCTCAGAAATAAACCCAAAAAACAAAATTAGCTGGACATGGTGGGGCGTGCCTGTCATCCCAGCTACTCAGGAGGCTGAAGTAGGAGAACTGCTTGAACCCAGGAGGCGGAGGCTGCAGTGAGCCGAGATTACGCCACTGCACTCCAACCTGGGCAACAGAGTGAGACTCCATCTCAAAAAAAAAAAAAAGAAGCCTGAAGTCACCCAGAATTAAGCAACGGACCTGGCATTTGAACCCAGGCAGGTCCTACCTGAATGCAAAGCCCCTGCTCCTAACCACGGGGCCACACCACCCAGCCTCCTTAGATGAAGGTCCATGCAGTGGGGATGGCTGGGGTGAAACTGCTGAGGCAGCAGCTCCCTCTAGAGCTGCCTCTGCTGCCCAAGAAGGCCTGGTGGGAGAAGCTGGAGGGGGGGAGGTTGGCCTGAACTGGGACATTCCGAGGAATTAGCCGGACATCTCAGGCATTCCTGCTCGGCAGCCAAGGGCTGCAGAACTGGGTGGGGAAGACTTCCACCTGCAAGTTTCCAACCACCGGGAAGACGGAAGGGATCGCCCGGAAGATGGGTTCAAAAGTAGTGGCTGCAGCCAAATTCCATTTCCAGCTACATTACTGACCAGGAACTGGAAAAGCCCTACCTTACAGAGCACCTGGCAATGCCAGATCAAATATATGCACGACCAAGCTTGTAAGAAGGGAAGGAAGCCCCCCAAAACATCACTGGGAACCTGAAACATAGGGACCCACAATTGGGGGGGAGGGGGGTTGGCTTTGGTGGCCACCTAGGGACAAAGTCTGCAAGCTGAGAACCACACACAAAATGAGCTGGGTAGCTAGCGAAAGCCAAGGCGGAACCATCTGGAAGGACTGCCTGCAAAGTAGGCCACCCCGGATTCCCACAGAGCCCCCAGCTGGCCATGAGCATCCGATCCCAAGTCACAAGAAAATCTATCACCAAGGGGAGTCACAAGAAACAGAAGGCTGCCTGGGAACTTCAGCTTCTAGGTTTATCAGACTACAAAGTCAGGATGCGTAAAATAAAAACATCAGCCGGGCGTGGCTGGGTGCGGTGGCTCACGCCTGTAGTACCAATACTTTGGGAGGCCAAGGCAGGCAGATCACCTGCGGTCAGGAGTTCGAGACCAGCCTGGCCAACATGGTGAAACACCATCTCTACTAAAAATACAAAAATTAGCCGGGCGTGGTGGCGGGTGCCTGTAATCCCAGCTACTTGGGAGGCTGAGGCAGAATTGCGTAAGCCAGGGAACTGGAGGTTGTGGTAAGCCGAGATTGCACCACTGTACTCCAGCCTGAGCAACAAGAGTGAAACTCTGTCTCAAACAAAACAAAACAAAATTAGCCAGGCATAATCGTACATGCCTGGCTGAGCCATGAGTTCAAGGCTGGCCAGGGCAATACAGTGAGACCTCACCTCTACAAAAAATTAAAAAATTAGCTGGGCGTGGTGGTGTGTACTACTTGAAAGGCTAAGCGGGGAGGATGGCTTAAGCCTGGGAGGTGGAGGGTGCAGGGAGCTGAGACAGTGGACACTGCAGTCCAGCCTGGGCAACAGAGCAAGACCCTGTCTCAAAAACTAAAAAATAAAAATAAAACCATGAAAGTTGGGACCAAAACATAAGGAACAAGACATTTATCCCCAGCAGAATAGCAGATCTAAAAAGGAAACAAATCTCAGCAATTTATTTTTTTATTTACTGAGACAGAGTCTCACTCGGTTATCCAGGTTGGAGTGCAGTGGCGTGGTCTTGGCTCACAGCAACCTCCACCTCCCAGGTTCAAGTGATTCTCGTGCTTCAGCCTACAGAGTAACTGGGACCACAGGCGCCTGCCACTATGTCTGGCTACTTTTTCGTGTGTGTGTGTGTGCCAGGATTTCATTCTGTCACCCGGGCTGGCGTGCAGTGGCACCATCAAAGTTCACTGCAGCCTTGAACTGGGCTAAGAATCCCAGGTAGCAGGGACTGCAGGCGCGTATCATCACGCCCAGCCCAAACTGAAGACTTCCTGGGCTGTGCGGTGGACAAGTCACGGCTATAGAGAGAACTAGGGGAGTGGAAGGGAGAACTGTGGAAGTGGGCAGCACGGGCCCTTGGTCAGTGTGAGGGAGGCTGAGCCAGGAGAAGGAGGACAGTAAGAAGGTCTAACAGGCATCTGAAGATTCCAGGGGGGGCCAGAGGAGGAGATGGCTTAACCTTTCCAGAATTGCTAACTATGGGGCCCTGGGAGTCAGGGAGCAGGATAGTGAAGGGGCAGTGAGAGGCTGAGTTCTGGGGGCAGGGCCGTGTGTGGGACAGCGCCTCACTCTAGGATGGCGAAGGGGCAGTGAGAGGCTGAGTTCGGGGGCAGGGCTGTGTGCCGGACGGCGCCTTACTCCTTGAGGGAGAAGTGCATTTTGTCGTTGACCATCTTGCGCTCGGGGTTGAGGCGCTTGAGGATCTGGGCCAGCACGTTCACCGTCTGCTCGCTGCTCAGCCCTGTCTTCTTGGTCTGGAACTTTTTCAGCAGGTCCTTAGTGGTCATGGGCTTCCGTGTCAGGTAGCGGCGCACGGCATCCTCAGTCACCTGCACGTCGCTGAGGATGGGAGGGCAGGGAAGGTGGCATCAGTGAGCTTGTCCCCGGTAGCCCTTGCCCTGCCTCCTGCCGTCCTTGTCAGCTTACCCGCTACTGGGTGTTGACTTGCCCGATGGCGGCTGGGGGGTCGACTTCCCGGACAGGCTCTGGGGCCCCGCGTCCAGCCGCAACCGCTTGGCTGCAGGCATCTCGCTCACCCGCTTCCCTGTAGAAGTGGGGTCAGGGCTGAGTCTTGGGGGCAGGAGGCCGAACCCCTGAGCAGGACCGCGGGCTGGGCAGTGCCAGGATGAGGGTTCAGGGGGATTGGGGACAGACAGGCCTCCACCCCCATCTCCATCTCCTCTCTGTCTTAAGCCCCAACAGAGGTCGGGAGGCCGTGGCTGTGGGGAGTGGGGAGGCCACAGGCGCTCACCTTGCTCGAGCTTGCTGGCAGCCGCCCGCAGGGTGGAGGAGGTGCTGCCGCCCTCTGCGCTGGGCGTGCCTGGGCGGCTGTTGCCCCTCGAGCTCCCTCCCGACGGCTTCCGCTCTCTCTTGGGTGGCGTCTTCTTCTTCTGCGGAGGTCAGGGTGGGGTGAGGGGTGTGAGTCTGGAAACAGACGCCCAGGCCTCCCCTGTCACCGGGCTGGGCCTTACCGCCATGAAGAGGGCCGAGGAGGCCTCGCTGTCAATGTCGCTCTCCTCTGAGCTGTCCGACTCCTCGCTGCTGTCTGCGGGGCACAGGAAAGGGGTCAGGGCCAGAGCAACCCCGGGACCCGGCATCCACCGGTACCTCCACTGCAGATGAGGGAGGCCTGCAGGGGAGAGGGGAGGAGGCAGCAGAGCGCCAGGCCCTGACCCGAGCCTCCAACACGGGGGCCACACCGGCCGCACCTTTCCTGCGCTTCTTCTCCTGCGGGGTGGGCGCCTTCTTCTCCTCCTCCTCCTCCTTGTCCTCCTCAGGCGGCTTCTCCTCCTCACTCTCCTCGCTACTGTCGCTCTGCTCATCAACACCTGGGGGGACAGGGTATGAGCAAGAGCAGAGACGCGCTGCCCACATCTCCCTGGGGCCCGCCCAGCCGCCACCTACCCTTGGGCCCCTCCTCCTGCTGGGGCGGCTTGGCCTTGCTCTCAGGCTCGTCCTGGGAGCTGCTGTGAGACAGGGACGGCAGAGGGTGAGTGCGCGCCCGCAAGGCCGCACGGGGTCTCGCAGCCGCCTCGCGTCGGCCTCACCTGGAGCCGTCCGACATGTAGTCCACCTCCTGGCCCTCGAAGTCCCCATCATCGCTGTCTTCGAAGGCCTCGTCGTCGGAGCCCTTCTTCTTCTTCTTCTTCCTGCCACCCTTGGCCAGCGGCACCTTCTTCTTGGCCTTGGGGGCTCTGCCGCCTGGGAAGGGAGGAAAGGAAGGAAAAGGAGGGGGAGGCAGTGGGTATTTTGTGCAGTTTTGACATCCTGGGGGCCTCACTGACTGGGGAGACTGCCCCCACCAAGGCCAGCCCAGGAGCTCAGCTCTCCTAAACAAACTCCTGGTCCACACCCCACACCCCAACCCACGTTCTCTAACGCTCACAGACCACTCCCCCGTCCCAGACCACCCCAGGCGAGGCACCTGATAACCAGGGACAGCCCCTACAGCCCAGAGTGCACAGGAATTATTGAAACTGGCCAACCCAGAGTTGCAGTTTCTCATAGGAACCCCCGTAAAGACCACAGCCAGGCCAGGCGCGGTGGCTCATGCCTGTCAATTCCAGCACTTTGGCAGGCTGAGGCGGGAGGATGGCTTGAGCCCAGGAGTTTTCAGACCATCCTAAGCAACATAGTGAGTGAGACCCCAGTATCTACAAAAAATACAAAAATTAGGCCAGGTGCTGTGGCTCACACTTGTAATCGCAGCACTTTGGGAGGCCAAGACAGGCAGATTACCTGAGCTCGGGAGTTTAACACCAGCCTGGCCAACATGGTGAAACCCCGTCTCTGCTAAAAACACAAAAATTAGCCGGGCGTGGTGGCGCATGCCTGTAATCCCAGCTACTTGGGAGGCTGAGGCAGGAGAATCACTTGAACCTGGGAGGCAGAGGTTGCAGTGAGCTGAGATCACACCACTGAGTTCCAGCCTGGGCAACAGGGCAAGACTCTGTCTCCAAAAAAAAAAAACCAAAAATTAGCCGGGCCTGGTGGTGCACGCCTGTGGTCCTGTAGCTACTCGGGAGGCTGAGGTGGGAGGACTGCTTGACCCTGGGAGGCCAAGGCTGCAGTGAGCTGTGATTGTACCACTGCACTCCAGCCCTGGTGAGAGAGGGAGATCCTGTCTCAAGAAAAAAAAAGAAAGAAGGGCCACAGCTCAGTTCTCCCGGGCTCTGGCTTTGCCTCCTGACTGATATCACTGCTCCTCCAGGCAGCCTCGCCTGACTCTCATTCTTTTTTTTCTGAGACCGAGTCCCTCTCTGTCGCCCAGGCTGGAGTGCAGTGGCGCGATCTCAGCTCACCACAACCTCCATCTCCCAGGTTCAAGCGATTCTCCTGCATCAGCCTCCCGAGTAGCTGGGACTAGAGGCATGCACCATCATGCCCAGCTAATTTTTGTGTTTTCAGTAGACACAGGGTCTTACTGTGTTGGCCAGGCTGGTCTC